CCAGCTCCTCCGGTCCAGCCTCTCTCAATGTGGCAGAGCCCTCTCTCACACAGCAGGCCGCCAGCTCCTCCGGTCCAGCCTCTCTCAATGTGGCAGAGCCCTCTCTCACACAGCAGGCCGCCAGCTCCTCCGATCCAGTCTCTCTCAATGTGGAATTACAGAGCCTTCTCTCACACAGTAGGCCGCCAGCTCCTCCGGTCCAGAGCCCACTCTGACATAGTTTGATTTTTACCTATCAGGAGCATCCTTCCAAATGTCTGGGGGGGGGGGGGGCAGAGGTGTCTAATTCACATAAGGTAGCATAGTTGGTGTTCCACAGGATTCAGTCCACGGTCCCCTCCTCTTCTCCCTGCATACCACCCCTCCAAGCCCAATCACCTTGTCTTCACTATTAACTCTACCATCTATCCTGTTATCACTATACAGTTTGAATTTTCAACATTCTCTGCATCAAGGTCTGCCAAGAACCCAGAACTAAGGATAGATGACCAGCGATATCCTTTGCTGACCACATTGCACCTGTTGATTCCCTTTGTATATTAGACCAGCAAAACTCCTAGTCCTGACACTTCAGATAATCTCAAAGCTAGATTACTGTAGCCCACCGCAGACAAGGCTGCCATCTTGTGTTGTGAGACACCTGCAGATGATTCTAATGGCAGTAGCATGTCTGGTACTCAGTCAGCATCTTTGAGGTTTTATATACAAATCCTTACTATCAGTAACAGAAACTGGACATGTGCCAGTAGAAGTGCCAACCTTTTTCTCGTCCGGCGTGATGAAGACCGAGCCATATCTCTTCATGACAGGGGGGGACAAGGCCTGGAATCGGCAGCGGAAGTCACTGAGGGACATGTGGTCCGGGTAGCCTTAGCAGGGGGACACCACAGGTCATTTGTGCTTCAGATTTAGGGAGAAGGAGGGTGATCTTTCTTAAGCGGATCTTTTGGGTGGGAAGAGCCAACAGTTTGACAGTTATTGCAGATTTTTGTCTTTGTTGAATATGAGAGGACATCTTCACAACCACTTTGCCCGTCTGCAGCCTCAGTCCTTCCCCATTGGTTACTATGGATTCCCTGTGGCTAAGCTGGGCAGTACCTGTGCTAGACTAGACAGTACCTGTGCTAGACTGGACAGTACCTGTGCTAGACTGGGCAGTACCTGTGCGGTGGAGCTGCAGCGCGGGGAGGACGCTGGTGGAGGTCAGCTGGGCACGCAGGGATGGGACGTCGAAGCCACCGCCGTCGGTCTTGGCGCTGAAGCACTGCAGGAAGGTGGGGTTTGCTCGGCGAATCAGATTGATGAGTGCGTCCTTGGGAAAGATGACAGCCACGGTTACCACAGAAATGCCATCACAGAGGTGATGTAGCACGGCTCTGCTCTACAGAAACAGCCGACCCACTGGGTAGTAGTAACAAGGGACAACCTGCATGTTTGTCCACACTTAACCTTCGGATTGTTTACACTGAGGACTGGAGTTAATTGAAACATTGTAATTAACTGAAGAGGGTGAGCTTTTGTGTGTCTGCGTGTGTGTGTGTCTACATACAAGTGTGTGGGTGTCAGTGTCTGTATGCAGTTGGTGTGTGTGTCCCCACAATGTGATGAATACCTGTTTTTTTTTTCCCCTTAAGGGAAAATTCAATTTAATAAAAATCTGTGACTGCAATAAAAAAACTCTTGTATTTTGTTTCATTACTTATGGGGGTAGCATGTGGCTCAGTGGGCTAAGCCTGTGTGCCTGTAATCACAAGGTTGCCAGTTCAAACCCAGCCTCAGCAAGTCTACGGGTCCTTGAGCAAGGCCCTTAATCCCTGGGTGCCCCAACAGGTGGCCGCCCTTCACAGACAGCTTACTCTACAAAGAGCAAGTTGAGGGAAGCGTAAAAAGAATTTCCCCACAGGGATAATAAAGGATATATTATTATTATGGTTAGGGCTGGGTAAGGGTTGTCATAGTTAGCATTAGCATTCTTCCCATAGAAATGAATGAGCGGTCCCCATAAAGAGATGTTTACCCGATGTTTGTGTGTGTATGTGTGTGTCTCACCGCCTGCAGTTTGACAGAGACACTGAAGCAGTGCCTCCGGATGGCTGCCAGGCCCCCGCTGAGGGTCTTTCTGATGGCCCCGCTCCTCTGTAGTGACCGCTGGGATCCCCCCTCAACCCCCCCGAGGCCCTGACATAGAGGGGGCACAGAGGCTCGGGGGCCAAAAAGCGACTTCACCACACCACTGGGGGGAGACCAGAGGAAAGGATAAGGGCAGTGAAAGACCGAATCATGAATAAACCAGGGCACTCGGATACAGACAGACACTCCGCCACACACAGCAGTGCTCATACACGCACAGACACACTTACACACACTCGCTTCTTACATCGAAGAGTTCTGAAGAAGCGACGCAGCGCTGAGCACAGATGGGTTGTTCTGGACCATGCCGAACCAGCCCGACACGTCGTAGCGGATCGGATCAGTACCCAGCTGGTGTGCAATCTCACACTGAAGGGGCTGCTCACACTGTCGGACTGAACAGCAGAAGCGGCAGTGAGTCAGGGACACTCAGCTTTAGCAGCCGCACCTAAAACGCCGGCGCTGGAGCCTCCGGGCTTTCGGCGCTGGTGACGCGGCATCATCTAAACAGCAGGTGAGCCCAGAGGACCCGAACGGACCAAGGGCCGGAACACTCAACATCCACACGCACAGAGCTGAGGCTGAATCACGTCGCACGCTACACGTCAGGAATGCTAACAGTATGTCGGTAACAAGACAGCCTGGGGTGAGACTGGGATCCTGGCCTGCATATGATTTGACAGCCACCTCGATGAGCACCGACACACTCATACCCATAAAACAGGCAGAGACCCTCACCTGCTTCACTGAAATACTGACACGCCCTCTGCAGAACGTTGGTTTCTGTGGAGCCTGGGGTTATCATCTCCTCATCTAGCACCCAAAGTAGCCCGCGAGGGTCATCCTCCGCTGCACGCAGCTGACAAGTGACAGGGGCAGTGGGGGGAGGGGAGGGCAGGGCAGGGGGGTGATGTTTCCAAGCTCTTCATCCATCCCCTCATCAAATTTACTGTCATAATGAGCCACTTACCAGCTCCCCAACCCCCGCCCCCCCCCCAAAGGGAGGCAGCAGTAATTGAGCTCGCCAAACAAATCCAGCAGCATTTCCATGGTTTGTAGCCCCATTAAGATGCTGCAGAAAAGCCCGTTACCTGCCATCACAGGACTGCGCATTACCTGCAGCACTGGCTGATCGACAGCGGAGACGACTTGGGTGGGACTGAACTCGGGGGCTGCAAAATCCACCGGCACTTTCTCCTGAAGGAGATGATAAAGCAGATGTGGACATCCAGGTATTACTGACACAAATGAATTTAACCTGCGAATGATCACAGCGCTTTCTATAATGCGACATGATTAAATAAATGAACTGAATTGTCTAGCAATCAACAGATCCAATGCGAACATATTAATTACAACTGCAGCAATGCACATGTAAAGATATGCAAATGATAGTGATCAGTTTTGATCTAGATCTACTCTAAGATCAAGGGGGTTGCAGATGTTCTTCAATCATTCAAAAATGGGACCTAACATCATGCTCATCAGCTTAAGCCTCCATTGGCATTTTTACTTCTTACTTGACATGTCGTTTCAGAAGCAGCAGCCGAGCAAAATGGATTGGTGTCCAAAGTGCCCCCGCCCCCTTTCCAGTGGTTCTGAGTGATGTCAATCACTTCCTTGCTGTATCCAGCAAACCATCCATGCATCCATCTTTCCATGCATCCATCTTTCCATGCATCCATCTTTCCATGCATGTGTGTGTGGCTCTGTGTGTCTGTAAGCCCCTGACACACGCAGCCTGCCCCCATACCTGAACATATTGCTCCAATGTGTGTGTGAACGTGTGATTGTAGCGATACTCGAGGAGCCTCTCTTGAAGGTAATTGTGGCAGAACTCTGCAAAGCCAGCCGCCCGCTCCTCGCCGCCGTGCCGGGGGTTTCGCAGGCCGGGAGCGTCCACCACCATCACGGAGGCCAGCGTCAGCTGCTGGGAGCACAGTGACCTGCATGGACATGCCAGGAAAGACCCAGGCTTCAAAGACACAGCCAGGCCTGCAGATTTGCTCTCAAAACACAAAGACTTAAGAGGACAAGAGGGGTAAATTAAAGATGCCCCTACTTTGGGGTTGCATGCAATTAAAGTGATTTATTTTCTATTTTCAAATTATTCTTCTGTTGACTAAGTTCCTTGTTGTAAAATTTGAATTTCATTTTACACTTGCATTTTACATCAGAAAAAAAACAATTGTAACTTGTGGCTTAGATATCAGATTCTCACGCACCTCGCTGGGTACCACACCACATCACCCGAATACAGCTTCTCTCTATCAGTTTAAAAGAACAGGAGCATCTGTATTTTTGGTGGTACTAAAAATATCTTTGTGATCTCTAATTATCGAGGTATACCATAATACCGTTATACCGCCCAAGCCTCTTCGCTAGCTAAAGAGTAATGTTAGCCATAGAGATGCACAACATTTTGGCATCGTTCCCATGTGTCAGTCTTGGACAACATTGCTGACTGATATTTAAACTTGGTAGTCTACACCAAACCTTCTAACATAGCTGGGTATTTCTCAACAATTTTTGATGAAGTGTCTATCCATATTACTGGCTAATCTGTCTTTACACATCCATAATGGCAAGCCCAGCATCTGGTGGGGGGTGGGGGGAGGTAATAGGGGAAGTTGTTCCAGGCCCAGCATGTGAGGGAGCTGGTTGAAATTATTTTGCCCCAGGCCCAGGAATAATGAACGCCAGCCTTGCATAATGGTTTTACCCTATTTTCTATAGTTCAGCGTTTCTCAATCTGGTCCTTGGGGACCCCCAGACAGGGAGCTGGGAGGATGCAAAAATGTGGACTGTATGGCAGAGTGCAAAAATGCGGACTGTATGGCAGGGTGCAAAAATGCGGACTGTATGGCAGGGTGCAAAAATGCGGACTGTATGGCAGGGTGCAAAAATGTGGACTGTATGGCAGTGT